TTCCTTTGATCGAAATGCCTTTTCATAGTTGTCACACAACAATCAGTAGTTGCGGCCCCAGGATGGACAAGTTCATATTCTGTTCATAGATTAACAAAACCAGCATAATATTCCTGTATTTTTCTCTCCCCCTGGGTGTATGAGAATATGTCCATTTCAATCTGATATTGTCTGGACATATTTGACTACTAATACACCTTCTCAAGGTAGTCATACATCTCCTTAGCAGTTTTTCAGGTCCCTCATAGTAATAGCTACATCGACAGTGACTGAACTCAATATCCATGAAACTATTTGGGCATTATTGATTTTCCACTGTTTCAGCCCTTTAGCATTTGTAGCATCGGGAATGGTTGTGGTACCATCCAGATAGCCCCACTTACCCTTCAACAAAAAGTTGGAAATGGAATTTCCAGAGAGCATAGTTTGTTCCATTGAATTTCACAGATATGATGTCACCCCTTTCAGATCCCATATTCAGTCAAGAAACCAAAGAAAGACTAGAGAAAAATTGATAGCAATCACCAGAAGTCAAGAGGAATACCTTGAGGGATAATAATCACCGGGAACCACTGAGACCCTTAGAGTAAGTAATGAAGTTTGAAACTTCAGTCGAAAAAATCAATAGTCCAAAAAAGGAAACTGTAAGTAGCAGCCACCCAAGGAGGAGGATCAAAATCCCTTCAAAACTCCATCAAATCAAGAGAAATTTGTACAGCAGATAGATCTGGTCTAGGCGACACCAGATCTGAAGTTTGGCCCTGATCTGAGATCTCTCAAGAGAGATCTAATGAAATCTCTCTTGCAGAGTTCGAACTCTGTCTGTACAGCAGGTACGGTTGATAAAAAACAGCCCTATACCGATTGAAGGGTGCAGTAGATTTCAGTAGAGAGATGAGATTACTACCCACAGAAAGTGACAAAGAAGCAAGAATAAGATCAGAGAGCAATCTGCTCTGATACCATGTTAGTTCCAATCGAAGAGAAGAGACAAGAGACACGAAAATGGATGGGTGTATACAGTACTCACATGCCGAGAAGAGTAAAATATGTACAGTAATATATATATATATATATATATATATTAATGTGGGAATGGACAGTTCTGTCCTTTCAAGAGTAAAATATGTACAGTAATGTACAAAGAGGTATACAAAAGAGCCAAATAAAAGAAAGTAAAATTACAAAGTTATCCCTCATYCTCTACAGTTTTAACCGATTTATGCCTCCTGTGCACAATTACGAAATGCGCAATAAATATAGCCTTTTCCCCCTCCTCTTCCTTAACATATTCCCAAGAAAAATCCTTTCTAGGCATTCTAGACTCTAGATGAAATAGAAGTTTGAGAAATGATCAAATTGCATCACCTAATCAAATAAAAAAATGAATTAAATAATAAATACACCAATCCATGAATTTAAGTTTCTAGTTTCTAGTTTTCTACAAGTACAAGTATTCAAGTAATTCACAAATCACAACTTCAAAATAAAAAATTCAAATATTTAATATTGATATATAACAAAAATAAAGTAAAAATAAATACAAAGAGTTGTTGCTATATTATTTTAATTTTTACAATCTAGATGGCTACATTAGTGACAAAATAGAGTCAGTAGACTAAATTAACATGTTTAAGGTCCAGAAATTCCAGTTTAAAATTATTCTTTAGTCACAAATAAGGCAAGCACAATCAAGAAATAGTTTATCAAAAGAAGAGAAGATAGAAGTTGCTTGAAGAGTTGAAGTTGAATGCTAAAGATGCAACTAGCAATGTGGCATCTTGGCCTCTTGTTTTTTTTTTTTTTTTTTGATAGGAAACGATAACTTTCATTAACTAGAACATCAGAATTACAACTGTCACCTACACGAAGATAAGGTGACTCTTGATCATAAAATCAAATTACAATACAACCCAAAACAAAGACTCTCTGTTCACCCCTTGTTTTGCTAGTAAGTCAGCTAAAGCATTTGCTGACCTCCTAGTCCAATTAATAGCTACACCCAACTCCCTTGTAAGGCTCGATAATTCCCTTACTGCTTGTCTTRGGAACCAAGTTCCTAGGCTATTTGTTTGCAACCACCTAGTACAAACTTTGAGTCTCCCTCCACTTCTAGTTATTGCATACCCAATTGCTTAGCCAATCTGAGCCCTTGGAGGAGGGCCAACACTTCTGCTCTAAGTGAGTCCCCTACACCTATTGGACTAAAATACATAGCTAGGATTCTTCCTCCCTCATCTCTAAACACATTCCCTATTCCAGAAGGTCCAGGGTTCCCCATAGAGATGCCATCAAAGTTTGGTTTCACATTACATTGAAAAGGAGGGGACCAGGCTGCTTGTATGGTAGAACATAACACAGAAGACCCTGCTATTAAACTCCATCCTCTAGTCAAGTCATCTGCAGATATATCCTTGAACAAATTTAGAATTTTCAACCAACGTATAGTCTTGATGATGATCCCTTCAATATATTTAGGAGCTTTTCCTTGGGAAAATCCTGTTATTTCTCTCTTCCCAAACTGCCCACAAGATAGCTTCCTTTGTTGTTCTCCACATCACCCTTCCCTTCTTTGGTTGCCAGAAGAAGTTAGGGTCAAAAAGGTCCTCTATACTTGAGGGAGGATTCCACCTGCAATCAAAGATAGAGGAAAACCAATCCCTTATAAGAGTAACAAAGGGACAAGATATTAATAGATGATTTACCGTGTCACCATTTCTCAAGAAAAGGCTACAAACATGTGGAGACAAGCACCAATTTGGTCTTTTTCTTTGAAGCACTTCCAAGGTATTAGTTTTTTGGAGAACCACTTCCCAACAAAATATCCTTACCTTTGGAGGCACCAGAGCACTCCAAACTTCTTTAAAAGGAAAGGATGTAAACAGGTTTGTAGGGGGCACCAAAGTGTTGAAGAAGAAAGAGCAAGAAAAACACCTTGAAGAGGTCTTAGTCCAAATGCTACTATCAGGAGAAGAAAGGTCCAAGAAAACTGAACTGAGAAGAGAGAAAAGATCATCTGCCATTCCCACTTTTGAGTCCCTCAAACCTCTCCTTAGTCCTAGATCCCAAGAGTCCTTAGAGACATGAAAGGAAGAAATAACTTGATTTCTTTTCAAAGAGAGGGAATAGATGATCGATAAACTATCCTTAAGGGGAGAGTCCCCAATCCAAGTGTCCTCCCAAAAAAGTGCCTTATTACCCAGGCAAGCATCATACCTTATGAGTGGTGAGAAAGCAGGCAGTACACCAACAATATCTTTCCATGGGGAAGAGCGAGAAGCCCTAGGGTCGATCCCAACATCCCATCCATTTGTTTCCATACCATGAACACTTCTTATGACCTTGTGCTAGAAACTTTCTTGCTCCTTAAGAAACCTCCACAACCATTTGCCTAACAGTGTTGTGTTTCTTAATCTGATATTTTCAATCCCTAATTCCTCTTTGTCTTTTCTTTTTAGACACCACTTCCCACTTTACCCTATGATCCTTTTTAGAATCACCAGGTTCCCAAAGAAAATTTCTCATTACTTTTGGTCCTCTTAAGGTCTTCTAAAAAAAGAAAACGAAAAAACAGAGAGAGGCTAGACAGAATTGTGTGGCGTTTTTTTAATGATGGAGCTATTGAAAAGAAAAAGAAGGGAAGAAGAAAAAGAAAAGAAAAGAAAGAAAAATACCTCATACCTAGGGGGGTTGTCATCTGTTAGTTACCATGAAATCATTAGTTGGAATGTGAGGGGATTAGGCAGTGCAAAGAAGAGAAGGATAACTAAGGATCTTCTGGGAAGTGAAAGGCCAGACATTTTGATGATACAGGAGACCAAATTAGTTGAGCTTGATAGGAAATGGGTTAGAAGTGTTGGAAGTCATGAGGAATAATGTGGTTCTCTACACTTTCCTAGGGGGCCTCGGGGGGTATTTTCACTTTTTGGAGAGAGGATGTAGTAGGAGCAATGGGAGAGCTAATAGGGAATTTTTCGGTGTCTATAAAGGTTAGACTGGTGGAGGATGATTTCACTTTGGTGTTAACAAATGTGTATGGACCAAACAACTATAGAAAGAGGAATGAGCTTTGGGAAGAATTATTTGGGATACAAGGGCTATGGGAGGGTGCTTGGTGTTTGGGTGGGGATTTCAGTGTAATTCAATTTATTAACGAGTCCAATAATCCCCAGCAGACTCTCACAACCAGCATGAGGAGGTTCAATAAATTCCTTAATAATTGTGAGCCGCCCCCCCACCACCCCCCAATTGCAAGCTCACTTTACGTGGTCCAATTTCTAGGAAGTTTCAACTTGTTTGAACTTAGACAGGTTTCTTTTAAATGAAAGTGGGGAAAATCATTGGAGAGATTTGATAGCCAAAGCTTTACCCAGAGTTACTTCTAACCATTGTTCCATTGTACTTGGACAGGAACTGTTTAGGTGTGGTCCTCAACCTTTTGGATATGTTTGGTTGCAATGCAATTTTATTTGCACTAGTACAAATGCATCGGAGTGCAAGTGAAAAGAATGCAAATTCTGGTTTAATTTTGTTTTGGGTTTTACTTTATTTTTCATCAGATCTCATTGTCCTGTAATCAAACAAAATAAGGTAATTTGAAACAAAAATAAATCAGAATTTGGAACAAAAATAAGGTAACATAGCTAGGGACCTTTTTTAAAGGTATAAGATTTTAAATTGATTAAAAGAAGGTATAAGCTTTTAAATTTTGCAATATAAAGATTGTTTAAAACTATTTCTTTCCATCTTCATTTCTTTTGTAATAATTAAGCAATTCTTCATGGTTTCTAGTTATATAACAATTTTACCATTCATTTTGCTTCTAAGATCTCCAATGTCAGGTAATGTATGAATTCAAGCTCTACATAGTAAATATATATTAAATCTCCAGTTTTATCTACTTATGCATTTAATGATCTCTTTACCAATTTCTACTTGCCTGTATGCATGCCATTATAATTGGCCATGATAATGTAGTAACCACTGTCTCGTTCATGCAGAGAAAAAATCAGAAACCAGGTCAAGAGCTGACAGGGAAGCAGACAATCATCAACTTATGCAATTGGAAGAAAAGGACGTTGTCTCATCTGTAGCTACTGTGCTTTCTGATCTTTGTGGTCCAGGAGAATGGATGCCCATGGCAAAACTTCATTCTGAGGTAAGTTCCAAACTTCCAATCATCTTTAAGAGACCTATGCCATCTGTTTGGACTCAAGCATTGAAATGCTTGCACAATTTAGTCTTCTTTCACATTGATGTTTATTAATTTAAACCTTTAATTATTGAATAGCCTATTGCATACAGATAAGCCAGTATATGTTAAGGCTATGTAGCTAACACAGCTGACATGGATGGGAATATAACCAATCAAAGTTTATCATCTCAAAATAAGTTGGATTGGTCATGCCAGTTCTCCATTTGGGAGAGAGTTTCTTGTATCTTAGCAATCAAATATCAAGCCTGAACAAAATCTATTTTGCCCTTCTCTAATAGAAACCTGAATGCATGAAAATTTGATACCCCATGATGATGTCGAGATGCTTTTACTTGATTTAACTTGAACATGTTGAATGTATCTCAGTTTCAGAAGCATGCAAAATATCTGATTTGAAACAATTACAATTTGTTTTAGGGTTTGGTTTAGCCTAAACCCATCCAGAAGCATCTGATTGCTATGCTGATCAGAATACCACTCCTGCGAACTAGCAACCTAAAAGTGTAAAAATTTGATAGATATTATGATTGTATATGGTTTCATATGAACCTATTAGATGTATTACAGTTTCACAAAGTATACAGATAGCTGACTTGGAGCAACCTTTTTGAGTTTGTTTTGGCCCAAGTCTGAGGGTGGACCTTGGCACAACGGTTGGGTTTCTCCATTGCAACCTGGGTGACCAGGGTTCAAATCTTGGAAACAGCCTCTGTATGGTTTAGGGGTAAGGCTGCATACATCTGTCTCTCCCCAGACTCGCATTGGCGGATGCCTCGTGTACTGGGCTGTCTTTTTATTTGGCCTAAACCTGTCCAGAAGTGTCTGTATGGTATGTTGATCACTGTACTGCGTAAGTATCCAGTGATACCTCTGTAGTACCTTCCATCAAATTTTTAAGGTTTCAGATGTGATATTTGTCATGTTGCTAGATGTTTCAATACTCTTTAATAGTCTGATAGCCATGCATGTGCTTCCAAGGTTGCATTAAATAGTATGTAAAGCACATGCTTCCAAGGTTAGTTACACCCTGAAAGAATGTTTGCTTTTTTACTTTGCTCAAGTTAGAAGCATCAATCATAGGATTGTTTATAAACCACTATGATGGTACATAGGGCTCACTTTAGAGTTATATCATTTCCTTTTGAAAATCTGCAGCTGCAGGTAGGCTAAAGTTTATTCTGCTAATTGTTTTTCATTATTCTCTTATAATCAACTTTGAGATCGATCAATAACATCTGGTGTATGTATTTTCTTTTTTCTTGGGCAGCTAGTAGATCAGTATGGAAATATCTGGCATCACAGCCGGGTAAGGAGATATCTCACATCAGAGGACTGGCCTGTTAATGAATCCAAGGGAAGGCCATGGTTTGGACTGCTTACATTGCTGAGGAAATACCCAGAACATTTTGTAATCAACACACGGTCCAAGGGGCGTGTAACGTCAGAGTTTGTCTCCTTGGTTTCCTTGCTATCATGAGTTAACTTGCACGACCGGGTATTTCCAATGTGATTCTTCTGAGGCATGGCACTGGTGACCCTGAACCCCTTCAACCATGGTAGTAAATGAACTTTCCCATTCCCACCGTCGGGGTAAAAACTACAAAGTCCATTTCTATAACATGTAAATTATTAGTCTTCGTTTCAGCTTAGTGCTTTTCTCTGTTTTTTTCATTTACTGGTGTTATAATTTATGGGTTTCTTAAAGGAAAAGTCTCCTCTTCAATGTCACTCTTACCTGAGGGCCATCAGCCAGCAAGCCATTCCATATCCAGCTTAACTGGCAGCTCTAATATTGCCCTGCTTTTACTTGATCAAATTTAACATGTCAGAGTGTTCGTTACATAATTGGATAGGATGATAAACTTTGAAATTACCTTGTTAGTAGATAAAATTTACTTAAATAGAAAACTTACATGACTAATTCCCATTTGAAAAGGTTGCCATGGGGAATATATTGAAAAGCCCGAAGGCACCCCAAGCAGGGGTAGCACTAGTTGGAAGGCCATTCATGATTCAATTGCAACTTGGTCATACATGCAGAAGCTCTAACTGGTAGGATAAGGTCGCAAGCCATTACTTGATGAGAGAACTTGAACTAGAATGTTGGAAAGAACCCAATGAATAGTGTTTAGTGGTGATAACAAGTACAAGTTTGTTGACTTATCATTGCCTCTGCAGGACCTTCAACATGGACCATGTCTGCAATGCTTCCCATGAATGAACACTGAAGCCTTCTTAGATAATTCAATCATTACAAACATCCAGAAAATCATTGAAGCCTTTGGAGGTAGGAGTGACCATGGGCTGGGCTTAGACCCTATGATAAGGGTTATAGCTCAGGCCTAGGCCCAGCTGAGCCTGTACCCCAGGCCCAGGGTTGTATGGCCCAGGCCAGGCCAGGCTAGGCTTTGGGCCTATGGCATCAAATAATGAAAATTTAATTATTTATAAATTTAAAATTGTATGATGCAATATATACATGAAAAAATAGTTGGGCCCAAGCTGGGCCAGGCTTGGCTTGGCTTTGGGCCTATGCTACAAAATAAGATATGGGTTTCAAGTTTCAACACATGATTGTCTTTTATTATATAGACAAAGGCAAGGCCTTCATTCTAACTCCTATGCAATGTGGGACTTGGACAAGCTCAACTGAGTGTTGCCCTTGTTAGCATAGGGGTATTTCTGTCTTTATACTTAGATTAATGTTGCTGATCTGTAATGTTGTGTTGGAACCAGTGCTCCTAACTTAAGTAAGGGCACACAGGTCTTTTCAATTAATTTTAATAATATAAATACTGTCTGGCCGACTGGGAGATGTTAGGTTGAGTCTTCCAGTTCGAACCAGAATTTCTCCCGTCTCTCTTTCTCTCTTTTTTCCACCTTTCTCCTTCTACATAACTGATCTCAGACAGACAGAACTCTAAGGCAGAACCGAATTATAACATGGTATCAGAGCAACTTGAATCTGCCTAGATTTCTGCTTGCCTAGGTTTCTATTCTCTGCGCACCCTATCTAGGGTTTTTCCTCTTTTTTTTCTGCATTCAATTGGAGATAAGGGAAAGGGCTGAAAAGGAGTGATCGCCCCTTTCCCTTGGAGGTTTCTATGCCTCCAGTCAGGTTGTATGTGGTCGGTTGCTGTGATTTCTGAGATCGCCCTCTCCTAGTAGAGGAAGAATAGAGGGCGGAACTGTGTGTGCAATGGCTGTCGTGTGTG